GAAGCCATCGCTAGGTTGTTGGAGGCCATCGCTACTAGGGTTTGCTAGTAGGTTGGAGGCCATCACTCTTGGGTTGGAGGCCATCGCTATTAGGGCGGAGGCCATCTTAGGTTGGAGGCCATCGTTACAAGGTTGGAGGGCATCCCATCTAGGTTGGAGGGCATCCCTTCTAGGTTGGAGGGCATCCCTTCTAGGTTGTTGGAGGCCATCTCTTCTAGGTTGGAGGCCATCGCCATTAGCTTCAGTTTTCTCTTTCCTGTCAGGAGCGAAGCGCATCGCCACAGGTCGCAGAGTGCTCATAGCAAAGCTCATTGTGCCATGATGGGCCATGACGTCACCCGTTTCAGGCGCCAAGAGCACCGGGTCCAACAACTCTGGGGAAGCGTGGCCCCAAGCCACTGCAAGCTGCAAGGCACTTTTTCATATTCTAGTAGCTTGTTACTAGTAGCGATGCCAGGAGCCCCTAGTAGCGTCCGATCGCTCCTAGTAGTAAGGCCAGGAGCCCCTAGTAGCTTATTCATGTTGTTATTCATGTTTCAGATTGAAGTTTGTTGGGTTTCGAGCTGGAGCGGCCTTCCTTTTTCGCTTTGATCGTTGCGACGCACTGGTACTCTGCGGAGTTCTGCGGGTTCCAAAGCTGATATCCCGCACAAAAGACATCAAAGGGCTTGACAGGGCTTGCACTGAAGCTTGGCTTCTAGTGTCCAAAGTGCAAAGGAGGGCGACGGATGGCTGGTCCTAGTTTTGATGCTGACATGCCGAAGACGGTGTTTCAATGCTCATGGATGCATCAAACTGTGCCACGCAAACACTTGGCCAGCGAAATCAATGTTTCCGTTTGTGCGGATGTGGAGAGCACTGAACCTACCCAGCCAATCTGCAGCCCTTGAGCAGTTGATGGATGAAGTTACCAGCCATTTTTCTTGGGCTGCTCCAACTAAGTAGATGGCTACTAAATTAAGTAAAGGCTATGTTAAACTTTCTACTAGTGGTCGCTTACTAAGTAGCTGGGACGCAGGATAGCGCTTGCACTATTCATTTGAGGAAAAACTTAACCACATTTCAAGCAAGGTACGCAGCGGATACAAACTCAGCCTTGTGCAAAGAAACATTGCGATCACACAATTTCTCGAAGAACCGACAACAAACGCGGTGCAAAACTCATTCAAAATGAACCATACCAAATACACTTCACTATGTATATGAACACAGATTTTGCACGTGCTACTTACATGCTCGCGCAACTGCAGACGGGTTGCTGCATCCGCTATGCGCCCGGTTCCGCAACTTCCTTGCCCGTTGTATATTCAGGTGTAAGGACATGAGATGAGAAGCTATTCCTTTCTCTCCAGGCAATTTCTCCTTCTGTACACGGTTGAAGAATGCAGAGTCAAGCATCAATATAGGCTCCAAGCGCCGTGGTTGCGAACACTACTTCGTTGATGAAGTTGTTATACGCATGTCAGTTTCTCTTTTTCGAGTGATGATCACTCACAAAGCACGTGCAACTTGCAGTGTTTGTCGATTTCTGTCTTAGGCCATTGGATGGACAGGCCCGATATGAAACAAGATTTTGCCCGGCCGGTTCTTCTGTTCACATGCTGTTTCCAGGCAAAGTCCGGGGCGAACCTTCTGCATTCAGGTCCGGGACGTTGTACTCTGCAAGCGTTGTACTCTGTTGAATGGGTCGAAGACAGTGATGGTGTGTGAGGACAAAACTTGTTGCCGGAGCAAGACGAAACGGTCATTGGCGGCGAGGAGTGAGTGAAAGTCTTGCTTAAATTGAAACAATGTTCGCTACGTTCGGGGCTCCTGGCCTTACTAGGAGCAAGGACGCTACTAGGGTCTCCTGGCATCGCTACTAGGAGCAAGAAGCTCCTAGTAACAAACATGTTGAACCGAAGGATTTGCTGACATGTTCACATGGAGCGCAACCTGAACGCGACCTCGCTGCAAGTGGGTAGCTACTAGCTAGAACGCAGGATAGCTCATGCTTCTTCAAAGAAGCTCTCATCGCCAGAGGGCGGGAGGAGCTTCCTTGAAGAAGCGCTCACGCTATTCATTGAGTTCCTAGATTTTGAGGGAAGCCAC